TCCGGTAAGTCACCATTCTCTATTTGCGTCGATCTGTTTGTTAGTATTTATTTGGTTTCAATTGCATTGTTTTGATTCGGAGTTTTCAGGAAGAGGTTGCTGATGAAGAACCGTTCGATGTAACACTCATAAACCCAGGTTCGATTGATGTAAAATCAATCTGTTTTCGCGTTGATTTTGGAGTTAATCACGGTTTGAAATAACAATCCAATTGGTTAATTTAGAGGATTACTTGAAGATTGATTCATCTAATGACGGCGACGATAACGGAATCGGAGATGAATCGGAGACAACAGAGAAACCAAGTCGAGCGCAGAGGAAGAGGTTAAGGAAGAAGATGCTCAAAGAAGAAGCAGCTCGACGGAGGAAAGTTATCGGGCCTCTACTTCCGACAGATATGATTCAGACCCGTGACACAAATGTCGCAGATGCTGGTGAGAGAAACGATTGTGATGGCGAAGAAGAGGCGAGTTGCTCACAACCTGTTCGACTAAACGTCCCAGAGAAAGAAGGTACTGCTTTTGACTTTGAAACATATCATTAGTTTCAACTTCCAACCATAAAAATTCTTTTGGTAAAACCTGAATTTTCGTACGTATCTTATCATTAGATTCATAAGTATCTGTACGAATTTCAGATCAAGTGGTAGGAAAGTTTTTGAGTTTAATCAAAATCTAATAGCTCAAGTTGGCGTTGTTGTTGGTCTTGTACAATTTTATTCAAAGCTGTCTTTTTTGTGTGTATAGTATTGATTACATTATATATCTGACTCTTTCAATTATTGTTTGGTAGAGAAATTTGGTGGCAATGATAAGACGAAAAAGGTCAAGAAGAGAAGAGAGGCAAAGAAACTAGCCAAAGAGAAATCTAAACCAAATTCATCTCCAGGATCCAACAACTTAATTTCGTAATTAGGGTTCAAAAAGTACCGATCTTTATGTAAGAGTCAATTGCTTTTTCTTTAATAATACAAGGGTAGATTACTAAATTAGCAACTCTCTTTTTGAAGATTCGTGAAATTCCATTTATGCCCTTAGTAAAATAAAAGGTTATAAGCTATCCAAGCTACAATCGCCATTGCATAGCAACTTCTATAAACCCTAAAAACCGCAAAGAGCTATTCCTTCTTCCTCCGCCTCAATCGAACAATGGCGGAACTAAAGCTATCGGAGAGTCGTGACTTGACCAGAGTCGAGCGAATCGGCGCACACTCACACATCAGAGGACTGGGTCTCGACTCAGCGCTCGAGCCACGAGCCGTCTCCGAAGGAATGGTAGGTCAAGTTAAAGCTCGTAAAGCCGCCGGTGTAATCCTTCAGATGATTAGGGAAGGTAAAATCGCGGGTCGGGCAATTCTAATCGCGGGTCAACCCGGAACAGGTAAGACAGCGATTGCTATGGGTATGGCGAAATCTCTTGGCCTGGAAACACCTTTCGCGATGATTGCAGGAAGTGAGATTTTCTCCTTGGAGATGTCGAAAACAGAAGCTTTGACACAGAGTTTCCGTAAAGCGATTGGTGTTAGGATCAAAGAAGAGACTGAGGTTATAGAAGGAGAAGTTGTGGAGGTTCAGATTGATAGGCCTGCTTCTTCTGGTGTTGCTTCAAAGTCAGGGAAGATTACGATGAAGACGACGGATATGGAAACTGTTTATGATATGGGAGCTAAGATGATTGAATCTTTGAATAAGGAGAAAGTGCAGAGTGGTGATGTTATTGCTATTGATAAAGCTACTGGGAAGATTAGTAAGCTTGGAAGATCGTTTTCGAGGTCTAGGGATTATGATGCTATGGGTGCACAGACTAAGTTTGTGCAGTGCCCTGAAGGTGAATTGCAGAAGAGGAAAGAGGTTGTGCATTGTGTGACGCTTCACGAGATTGATGTAATCAATAGCAGGTAATTTTAACATTCACTGGATTGTGAATATTGCTAATCTTGAGTTTTGGTTTTTCACTAGACTAATTTAGGTTGCAAAATTAAGGTTTTTAGTGATTTTATGATTTGGTTTCACCAGTTTCTGATGAGATGTGTCAAATTCGAGGTTACTACATTGCTTTACTTGTTCTTGAAATTCTCAAGTTCCATTTTTGTTTCGACATTTCTTTAGCAGTGTCAAATTTGAGGGTACTATAACCATCCCATTTTGTTTGTGGTCTTGTTGGTTACAAGTTAGGTTGCAAAATTGAGGTCTGAAATATCGAGTTCTAGAACAAAAGGAAGTTTTTTCTTTCTAATATCTTCTTGGTTTGTTTGCAGGACACAAGGATTTCTAGCCCTTTTCACCGGTGATACTGGAGAAATCCGATCAGAAGTCCGGGAACAAATCGATACAAAAGTAGCGGAATGGAGAGAAGAAGGTAAAGCCGAAATAGTTCCTGGTGTTCTCTTCATCGATGAAGTCCACATGCTCGACATTGAATGCTTCTCATTCCTTAACCGAGCTCTCGAGAACGAAATGTCACCAATCCTTGTTGTGGCAACAAACCGAGGAGTGACAACAATCCGTGGCACAAACCAGAAATCACCTCACGGTATCCCGATCGACCTCCTTGACCGTCTTCTCATCATCACAACCCAACCTTACACAGACGAAGACATAAGGAAGATCTTAGAGATCCGTTGCCAAGAAGAAGACGTAGAGATGAATGAAGACGCAAAACAGCTTCTGACTTTAATCGGACGGGATACTTCTCTAAGGTATGCGATTCATCTTATAACCGCGGCTGCATTGTCTTGCCAGAAACGGAAAGGAAAAGTCGTGGAGGTCGAGGATATTCAGAGAGTTTATCGATTGTTCTTGGATGTGAGGAGATCGATGCAGTATCTTGTTGAGTATCAGAGTCAGTATATGTTCAGCGAAGTAACAAACAACACCGATGAAACTGCTACAGAAGAAGATGAAAAACAAGAGGCTATGCAAAGCTGAGGATTTATCTATGTTTGCCGCCTATTTATTGTGTTTTGTCATAACTCTTATGATTTGGACTTTATGTTTGGTTTTTCAAAAGTTGTGACGAATGTAAGGGATGACTATGTATCGGTTTAGTAAGGATTAGATTTGTGTTCTGATTTGTTCCTAATCTAAAATGAAAAAAAATTGAGTCGGGCCCATTAAGATATTAAGCCCATTATAAATTGAAACGGGCCCATTAAAAAGTTGAATCGGGCCCATTATGTATGCGTGTGTTTGTAAATCAAATTTTGACACGCATTTCAGAATAATTAATTACGAGTGTTCTCTTACCAGACTTCATCGGTTTTATGGTGGCGTGTTTTGGTGTAACGAATTTATTTTCTTGGTCGGTCAATTTCAACTTATTTAGTGAAGATTAACTAATTTTATGAGAAAAACGTGTGTTCTTTTTTTTCTTGTATTTAAGGATAAAACAAACAACTTATGGAACTAGAGTTCAACATAACTCGTTTAGCAAAAAAAAAACGCTCAAGATAAGTCGCCAAACAAAATGGATTCAAAGTCCAAACTCAAGGGTTGATTTCAATTCAATTTATTTACACATCTTGCTTCCAAGTTAAAAAAAAAAAGGAGAGGTATTACACGTTGGTGAATAATAATACTCTACTCAAGCTATCAAAATTTAATTTTGAAAATGATAACATTTATGTTATGTTTATCTGAAACTAAACTAAGGTATTTAAATTTACAAATAAGAAACCTTCTTAAAAAAAAATTAGGAAAGATTTCAATTGCTTACGAAGGTTTTCCTAAACACATTCATAAACAAGTAGGAAATCTTCATAAAAATAAGTTAAGAAAGAATTTTCACTTGTTTAGGATGATCTTACTAAACAAGTAAGAAACCTTCGTAAGAATAAGTTTAGGAAAGATTTTTACTTGTTTAGGAAGGTGTTTGTTTAGAAAAACTTTCCTAAACACCTTCCTAAACAAGTAGGAAACCTTGTTAAAATAACTTTCATTTTATTATCTTATCTTTAGTGAAATGGTTTAATATCCTTTTAGTAAAATAATATATATTATTTTTCTTTAAATCAATAACCTCTAAACAATCGTTTGACACTAATATTTTTTTTATGTCTTTTATATTTTTATTCATTTGTTCTTATATGTATATTCATTTTACATATTTTTAGTTTTTGAAATTAAATAGATAAAATTTTATCGTTATCCTAAGCTCATAATCAAATATATTTATTGATATAATTTTAAATATTCAAATAGTTTTATATGTACTATTTTTAGTTATTTGTTGACTTATTTTCAT